ACTAAGTAGCCCAGGCTAGCCTCTGATTTACTATATAGCCTAGATATAGCCTGGAACTTCTGATTCTCCTACCTCCCTTGAAGTGTTAGAATTATGGACATGTATCATTGCACCCAATTGACCTGCTGGAATTTTGTTATCATCCTTTGGTCTCCCCCTCTCCATTACCCATGGCTCTCAGGGGTCAACTACTCATGGAATTTTATGTTATTTCTTTTTGTATCACTTCAATGTGCACCACTATCTTCCTACTGCTACCTCCATATCACTTAAAGGCAAAGCCCAAATCTGATGCTCTCTTTTAACCTAGGTCTAGAAAGGTATAATAAAGAACAAATTATACAAAATCTCATGTCTTAAATGGTTTCTAAGGTTCTTATGTCCTTTGAAAGATCTACATCTCAACCTTAACCCCATTGTTCCTGATGCTTAAAGTAGCAGACTCCTAGCCCAGTCCAGGGTTGGGACATTCCAATGCCATCTCCTCCAGTCCCCTCCCACCACCACTCCGTGTTGCACCAATTATATCTTCTCACTTTCCCACTTGGGTCTGGCTGGCCATTCTTGATGCTTTGCCTCATCTCTCATTTCATTCTTTCCAAGTAGATTGTTCTTTTGGTTTTTCAAGACAGGGTTTCTCTGTATTGTTTTGGAGTCTGTCCTGGAACTCACTCTGTAGACCAGACTGGCCTTGAACTCACAGAGATCCGCCTGCCTCTGCCTCCAGAGTGCTGGTATTAAAGACGTGTGCCACCAACACCCGGCCCAAGTAGATTTAAAAAAAAAGATTTATTAAAATACATACCCATTAAAAATGTAGATGTGGCCGGGCGTTGATGCACACCTTTAACTCCAGCACTGGCAAGGCTGAGGCAGGCAGATCTCCATGAATTCAAGTCCAGTTTGATCTACATAGCGAGTTCCAGGCCAGCGATGGCTATTTAGGGAGATCCTGTCTCAAAAGCAAAACAAAACAACAATTATAACAAAAGTGTAGATATCAACCAGGTGTGGTGGTGCATGCCTACAATCCTAGGACTCTGGAGGCTTCAGCAGGAGGATTACAGTGAACTTGGGATCAATGTGAGCTACACAGTGAGATCAATGCCAACCTGGGCTACCTACATACAAGAGAACCTGTCTCAAAACAAAACAAAATGTATAGATGTCAATGGTTTTTAGTATTTTTACAGAGTTGAATCACAACTGCCATTGTGATCACCAAGAGGAGCCCCATCTCCTATAGTTATTTGCTACCTCATACAGCCTCTGTATACCACTAACCTATTTATTGATTTGCCCATCCTGGACACGCGCGCGTGCGCACACACACACACACACACACACACAAATGGACCCATACAACATGTGGCCTTTTGTGTCTGGCTTCTTTCTCTGAGCATGATTTCAGGTTCCTTCATATTGTATCAGTGCCAGTATGTAAGTACTTTTTATGACCAAATACTATTACACTGTTTGGAAACCAAGTTTACACTTTCACCGTTCACCAACGGATAAAGCAGATGAACTTTTCTCAGGAAACTGTCCTTGATTTATCCCACATTATTCTACTCTTCTGGGCCCCCATCTGAGCCTTCTGTAAGCAGGGATTCCTCCACCCTTGAGTGTGGTCTCTGTCCACAGAGGATGAGGTTTGTGAGAAGAGGAGGTAGCCCGTTGGTGCTTGTCGCCTTCTGGTCTTGCTTCCTTATCATTAGGACTGTGGTAACTGGAGGTGTGGCAGTGGCCCACAACCCTCAAGGCATTCTGAAGTCGACAGTGATGTCCAGCTAAAAGGAGGCAGGCAAGACCTGCTTCTTGTTCTCTTATCCATGCCCCCAGCTAGTGTTCTCAGAGGAGACTGAAACTGAGGGAGAAATAGAAAGGAAAACCAGATATCAACAAGGAACAGAGGAACTGGCCAAAGTGATGAAGGTGAGAACGAGTAGAAAATGATTTTGAAGAAAAGGCGTTTTAGGGTGGGGCATAAAGGAGAAAGAGGAGTGAGGGGCTTGTGTCTAAGAACTGTGACACAGGTTCTGCTCTACCATGCTTACTCCGAATAGTGGGGACTGAATTTCTCAGTTCTCTTTGCAAACTGGAGTGTGACCCAATATCAAAGCTGCCCACACGCAGGGGAATGACTCAAGGTCAAGGGCACACTAGTAGACAAAGTATTTGGGGGAAGACCTCGGATTTTCTTCATGCTATAGGTAGTGGTCCACTCATTCAGTCATACAACTCACAAACCTACATTGGGGGGGGGGTGTTGGAGACAGGATTTCTCTGTCTGGTTCTGGCTGTCCTGGAATTCGCTTTATAGACCAGGCTGGCCTTGAACTCACAGAGACCCATCTGCCTCCCGAGTTCTGCCCAGATATAAACCTTCTTCTTAGTTGAAACCATAACCATGACTGAGACACAGCCCCTGCCCTCAGTGAATGTATTGCCTCATGGTGAGACCAACCAACACCCAGGGCACTTCAGATGAAGGGTGATTCTGGCCCCCTGACCCTCTGTGATTCCACACACTTCCTCCACTCCTGTGAAGATGAACTTTTGAATACTCTAGTTACGATTTCCCACGCTTGTCACTTTAACTCCTCAAATAGTGCACGCAGGGACTTCTATATGCTTTTGCCCAGGGAATTAGTACAGTGGTAATACTCTGAGAATCTCAAGAAATATTTAATGAAAAAATAAAAACATAAATGAACTGGACAAAAACACCAAATGGTGTATTAATATTATGGCCTCTGATTTTGCCCAGAAGTGATCTCCAAGGCCCTAAAGTGGGGTAGAAGGACTTCCTGGAGTAAGTGAGGTTGGACTGGGTTTGGGAGATGAATTATTGTGCTAGTGACAGGTCTTGTCAGCACTGTGAATAGCATTGACAAAACTATAGAATATCTCGTGATGAGAACTACCTAGTGGATGAGTGGGTGTGGGATGTTGATGGGAACAGAGTGATGGAAGGATGGAACAGATGAAACACGAGTGGGCAGCATGAGCTTTGAACGGTTTAAGAAAAATGTGTACCACCCAATCCCAGCATTGTTACATATGTGTGTATACATACATCGTGTTTATTTTATAAGTATTCTTAGTGTTTGCCCTTTTCTCTGTATAGGAGGAGCTAATTTGTTTCAAATAGATTTCCTCTCTCTCTCTCTCTCTCTTTTTTTTTTTTGCAGAAAGGTAATTTTGGTGCTGTGTGGTGAAACACAAGAAAAGACTATGTGAAAAGTTGCCTCTGTCACAGGATGAGCCCATGATGGACAAACCGGGTGGCAGAGGTGTGGGGAGGAGGAGCCCATTCTTCAGGTAAAGACGTGGGGAGACTGGCTGCAATGTGGGTGGGTGGAGAGGGAGGAGTCCGCTTGACTCACAGGTTTCTGGCTTAGGATACGGGTGCTGGTGATAGCTTGAAGATAAGGACTTCCTTTTGAGAGATAGTTAACAGAGATGGGAAAACTAGCTTTTGAGGCGTTTAGACAGTGGCCCAGGTGAGGTCTCCCTGCGATCGTAGGTTCTTCTGGGCACCTGCCAGAGCCAGGGGTGGTTTTCCACACCCCTAGGACACCGAAGTCCTCGGTCTTGGTACTAAGGCCCTGTTCAGCTGCAGGAGACAGTGCTCCCAGTCTCTTCCTTCAGGTGACACCTTTGGACCTGGCCCCATCATGCTGGGCTTGGGAATGGGAGCTCAGGAGCCTCTCGACGCCCTTGCTAAACTTAAGGAGAACAAGGGCTCTAATCTCAACCTTCCTCGGTGATCTTGGGAAAAGTTGCTTTGCCCCTTCCTGCCTCAGTTTCCCTATCTACACACACTCCGGAACAGACCCGATGCCAGACTCCACTTCACCATCACTAGCATAGGGCGAGAAGAGGAGTGGACTGCGCTGTCGTCTTCCTAGTCACCCGGGAGGTTGGCAAGCAGGGAGGCTCGCAAGGCAGCTGCGAAGAGGTAGGGCTGCCAGGGCGGGACCGGACGGGCTGGACTCCGACCAGCGCCGACTCCGCGCCTGGGGGCCCAGACTCGAGCCCAGGGCGCCCTCCCCTCGCGTGCCGCGCCTCTGACGCCGTCAGAACAAAAGTGGCCGCCTGCTCTGCGCCCCCCCACGTCCCGCAGGCCCGGCCCAGCGCCGCAGCCCTCCGCCTCACGCACTGCCGCCGCGCCTTCGACCCTTCCACCCGAGCGCGCTCGGCTCTTTCCGTCGCGGTCGGCGCAGGTGGAGGGGGCGGGGCGGGGGCCGTGCGTGGTGACGCCGCGGGGGGGTGACGTACAGGCGTGCCCCGCCCCCTCCCCCTCCCCGTTCAGGCTCTGGAAAGAGAAGAAAAAAAACTTTCTTTTTTTTTTTTAATTGAGGAATCAACAGCCGCCATCTTGTCGCGGACCCGACCGGGGCTTCAAGCGCGATCTACTCGGCCCCGCCGGTCCCGGGCCCCACAACCGCCCGCGCACCCCGCTCCGCCTGGCCGGCCCGCTCCGCCCGGCCCTCGGCTCCCGCCCCGGCGGCCCCGCTCGCCTCTCGGCTCGGCCTCCCAGAGCCCGGCGGCGGCGGCCGCGGCGGCCGCGGCGGCGGCGGCACGGGTGGGGCCGCGGCGCGGCGGCGGCTCCGCTCGGCGCATTGTTTTTCCTCACGGCGGCGGCGGGCCGCGGGCGGGTGGCGGAGCCCGAAGTCTCCCGGTCGTCCGGCCGCGGGCGAATTCATTAAGTGGGGCGCGCGAGGGGGGGGCGGCGAGGCGGCGGCGGCACCACCATGTTCCCGGGCGCCGCCTGAGCCGCGGGGCCGGGCGCCGTCGCTGCCAGCCGGGCCCGCGGAGGCGGCCGGGCCGCTGGGGTGCCCGGGCCGCGGAGTGTCGCGCTCGGGAGGCGGGCAGGGGATGAGGGGGCCGCGGCCGGCGGCGGCGGCGGCCGGGGGCGGGCGGTGAGCGCTGCGGGGCGCTGTTGCTGAGGCTGAGATTTGGCCGCCGCCTCCCCCACCCGGCCTGCGCCCTCCGCGGCCCGGCCCGCGCTCCTGCGCTCGCTCCTCGCTGGCTCGTCTGCTCGCTGCCGCCGGCCCGACCCCCGTCCGGGCCGCGTCGCGCCACCCGCGCTCAGGGCTGTTTCCGCGAGCAGGTGAAGATGGCCGAGAACTTGCTGGACGGACCGCCCAACCCCAAACGAGCCAAACTCAGCTCCCCGGGCTTCTCCGCGAATGACAGCACAGGTGAGGCTTGGGCCAGGCGCGCTGTCAGCGTCCGTGGCGGGGAGGGAGCTGGGGGTCGCAGTGGCGGGAGGCTCTGTCCCGGGCCCTGCTGGGGCTGCGCTTTCCGGCCGGGGAGGAAAAGTGAAGCGGGGGCGCGGCCGAGTGTCCGCACGCGTGGCCGGCCGGGATGACAGCGGAGGGGACCTTGGAGGTTTGCCGGGAGAGAATGAGACCGAGAGGTAATGAGGGCTTTCGGGATCAGACCCCCTCTGTAGCCGCTGCAGTCGGGGGCACAGCTGCCACCGGCTTATGAGTTGAGACTGAGAAGTTTCTTGGAATGTGTTGCTTTGGAAAACGCTTAGTGGTTATTTTGAAACTCTTGATTCTTTCATTCTTTTTGATCACCTAGTAATTTTTTTTCAAAACCCCAAACTTCATTTGCAAGATGTCATCAAAGTTGCTGTGGTGTCTTTCATTTACATACGCAACCTTAAAAAGAACCTAGCAGGCTTTTAAAGTCCACTTGGACACCAGTCTCCCTTTGAGTTTGGACTGGTTTTACAGTGGAGATGTAAGATTTAAAAATCAAGGACTGTAGGATTTTCAGTTTTCAGGAGAAAAAAAAAGCAAGAAACTGCTAAATCCCTCCCCCTCTCCGGCCCCCGACTAGCTTCCCTGCAAACTTACTTAGGGGATCATGATCGTGTCATATACCCACTTTTCTGTTCATTCAGTAATTCAGACTTCTCCTGAACAGCTCTATGGTAACATTACCAATTCTTTGTATTTCCTCTTTTAAGCTCTCCTTCGCAATAAAAACTTGTGCGCTGCTGCGAACAATGCCGTCTCACCGCTGCTAGCGTTTCTCCAGTACGTTCTTGTAGTAACGGCATCTGAAAATGAGTTTCTGATGAATGGGTCCAAATCAGATTACATTGCTGCCTGCAGATTGGCGCTAGACACAGCTGTTCAAGTTGTGACTTTACCCAATGTATTAAAAAATATTTCCTACTGTTGAAACAAAACTTAGACTTTGTGGCTTCAGTTTGAATCCAGTCATGAAAGGAGATGGGTAATGTTAGTTAATGTAGAAATGAGAGGTGAGCATTCTCCATCCCCCATCATTTTTCAGGAGATTTTTGTTGACTTAAAATTTGTTCAACAGTGGGAAGGAATAAATGATTCTCAGGTACAGAAAAGTCACTAATGGTATTTTTCTTTTTAAATGACAAGTTGAGTTTGAATTTTTTTTTTTTTTTGAGACAGGGTTTCTCTGTATTGTTTTGGAGCCTGTCCTGGAACTTGCTCTGTAGACCAGGCTAGCCTTGAACTCACAGAGATCCACCTGCCTCTACCTCCCAAGTGCTGGGATAAAAGGCATGGGCCATGAATGACCGACCCAGTTTGACATTTATTTAAAAAAAATCTACTTATTGATGTGAGAAATGTGGAAACAGTGGCTTAAATGCCTTTTTGCAGAATAGAGCTTCCTTGTTTTAGTAAGCTTGCCATATTTGAGCCAGTGGACTGTAATCATGGGAAATGTACATCATACCAGGCAGGTTTAGTCCAAAAGCTTGTCCTCTGATATTGGTAACTTGAAGGCTTTTCAGCTTTGCTGTTATTGAGTGAGGTTATTGTAGATTTTTTTTCTTAAAAGTAGGGTCAAATTAATAATAGAACTACAAAAAGACCTGTAATATTGTACACATCCAGCTATTTACAAGATGGAACCCAAAAGATGGCTTTTTTTTTTTTTTTTGGTGTAGCTTCTGTTACTGGATGGCCAGATATTTACTGTATGTACTGCTAATCAAAGTAGAGCTTACCAGAAAGGATTTTCTGAAATTAACCACTTTGTCCCCTTTTTTTTCCAGTTTTTACTTAGGAAAAGCACAAGAACATTTTAACATGTCCAAATGTATGAAACAAAAAGTAGTAGTTTCTAATGATTCTGTCTTAGATGATCAAAAGAATAAGATGAGCTGAATCTTTGGTGACATGAAATGCACCAACTTGAAAAGGGTGTATTAGGGTGGACTGCTGAGGAAGGGGCCATTACTGAACACATTAAAAAGGTGAATCCTTGTCAAGAATAACTATTAGTCTAAGATCCAGTAACAAGATAGAGAGATCTTAAAGATGTAAATTAAACAAATGGCTGAATTATTTGTTAAATATATTTAAAGGAATGACTGCTGGAATAGAGATGGAAGGATAACATTGAGAAATTCAGTATCGTTTTAGTGAGGGATTCTATCTCAGGCCTGCAAGAGAAGATTGGGCCAGGGTGGGCAAGGTGTGTTCTGAGCACAAGATTAAGTGTGAGGGAGGAGATGAAAGGAGGAGAGGGAACAGCTCTAGACCCTGAGAAACAGTAGCTACTTGAACTATTTAACACAGGCCACATCTTTGAGGACTGTCTTATGAAGCCATCAAGTGCATTCATTTTCTAGGGATGGTAGTGGGTGGAGAAGAGAGTACGTTTGATGTTGAGGAGTCTACAAAGCCTATAGAGTAGGGGAGCATCCACATATGCTTAAACCACTAGGGTTAGAAATTATCTGAATGATGAACACCTTTGTCACTTAAGATGGGGAGAGCACATAGAGGAAGGAAGGTGCCTAGAGGAGGGTAGCAAGAAGACGAAACGACTTTTCACCCCACCATCTAGGCAGTTCTGGAGTGGCATAGATTCAGATGGTATCTGATGTTGGCATGGTACTGTTTTCTTGTTTTGTGTTGAATTGTGAAGCACTTTGTAAGAAGGGGGAAGGACTTTTGTTACTAATATATAGTTGGTTGTATGTTTTGAAAACTTTTTCTTAATATGTCCAAATTACTTACTCTGGTGTCTTTTAACACTAGGGATTCATATTGGGACAGTGTAGGAGAAATATTCAGGCAGGTAGTAGACATTTAAAAAATCATTATTTATTTGTATTTTATGTACATTGGTGTTTTGCCTGCATATATGTCTGTGTGAGTGTCTTGGATCACCTGGAACAGAAGTTACAGAAGTTGTGAGCTGCTATGTAAGTGCTAGGAATTGAACCCAGGTCCTCTGGAAGAACAGTCAGTGCTCTTAACTGCTGAGCCATCTTGCCAGCTCCTCCCCTTTTTAACATGTATGTAATTGTATGTATGTAATTGCCAGTTCCTTCATTTATGAAAGCTTCTTTCTTTTTAAGACAGAGTTTTGCTGATTGGTTCTTTCTCGATTGGAATTTTCTGTATACCCCAAGCTAGACCCCAAACTGGCTGTGGACTTGGGATCCTCCTGATTCAGCCTTTTATAAGCATACATCATCACATTTAGTGATTTTGGCAACTTTATGACAAAATATGTGTCTAACAAATAGACCGTTTAAGAGGTGTTAGGGCTCAGTGAGTAAAAGGTAATGGCCGTACAGGCCTGGTAATCTGAGTTCCAGTCCCAGAGCCCATAGAAAGGTAGGTGGAAGGAGAGAACTAACTCCTTTAAGTGTGCTGTGACACATACCCCTTTATAAAAAGTTTTAAATTTGTCTTTTGAAAATTGAATAGAGGTGCTATGGTCCTAAACCATTTTATAATTCCTATGTCTTAAAGAAAAAAAAATAACTTACTTCCTATATATCCATAGACTGGCCTCAAACCTGTAATTCTGCCTCAGTCTCCTGAATGTTGATGGAATTATAGGCATGCTGTGATCACTAGCAAAACGTTAACTTTTCAAGAGGTATAGTCCTCACTGTGCTGCCTAGGCCAGCCCTCAACTCTTAGACTCCAGTGAATCTCCTGTCTCAGCCTTCTAAATAGGTATGCATCTCTAAATGCAGTAGAGCAGAGTATTTAAAGAAAGCTTGTGGCGAATATGTTTTGTCACCAACATCTTTTACTGCTAAATGGTAAATCCTCATCGTGGGCAGTCCTTTATGTATAAGACAGTGCTTTTCTCAAAGCTGTCTTGGCAGCATATGAAGAGAAGATACATTTACTGATGTTTTCTAGATAATTTAAGGGGGATCTAGATTTGGGTGAGATAACTCAGCATGTGAAAGCACTCACCATCACACCCGAAAGTTTGATCCCACTCCTGCATCTAGTGGAAGGAGAGAACTGACTCCTGCAAGTTGTCCTATGACCTTCGTACATGGGTCGTAACATATACATGCCCATGTATGCACACATGCGTGTTGTTGTACACACACACACACACACACACACACACAGTACTTTTCAGAAAATTTGGTGGTGAGATGTATACCATTGGTGTGCTGGGCCTCATTTTCCTCTGATTCTGTTGTTACACTCCATCTAAACTGGATGGGCTCATTCATGTTCTTGTTTTCGGAAGGGCATAATTGAGAAAGGTTTCTTATTTTTTTTACCTTATTGTTGTCTCGACTAAATAGGAAGTAAAAGTTTTCGTAGAGTTAAGACTTTGTCAACTATATCTTGCCATGAAAGTGGGGACTTTTTGAGGGTGGGAAGGGGCTGCACAGGTAGCTCTTCAAAAAAGATGGTGTGAATTAAATATGAATCACACCAGTGGTGCTATAGTGGTAAAAGGTTGGGATTTTGTAATTAGTTGTTTTTTTTTTTCCTTGAGACAGGATTTTTATGTATTTCAGACTGGCCATGAATTCCTGATGCTTCTGCTACCACCTCCTGAGTTGCTGGGATTACAAATACCTTCTACTGTACCCTACTTGTAGTGGTAACTGTTAGGGGTAACTGAAAATAGCTTATAAAGGAACCCAGGCTTATTTCTGCTGTTGGTAATTGATGCTAGGTTGTAAGCCAGTAGCTTTACTTCTGCCATTGTAGTTGATTCTCAGAGTACTCCATTACTTAGGACTCTGCCAAAAACCAAAAAACAAAAAAAAAGCTGATTTTTGTGTGTGTGTGTGTGCTTATTTCATGTTTGAAAACAAAATAGATTAAAGTGGGGTAGCTAGCATGCCTTCCTTTGTTAAGACAAAGTATATCTTGCTGGGCAGTGGTGGCGCATGCCTTTAATCCCAGCACTTGGGGAG